GTTCGAGCCCCACATCGGGATCCACACTGATAGTGTGGAGCCTGCTTGGGATTCTCTGTCTCTCCTCCTCCCCCTCCTCCACTACCCACCCCTTCTTCTGCCCCTTCCGTGCTCATGTTTTCTTTCTCTCTCAGAATAAATAAATAAACTTAAAAAAAAAAAAAAAGCCCACCTCTTGGGCTTAGGGCTAGGATTAAATGAAATGGCACATATAGTATGAATGCAATAAATGAAAACTGATGTTATTTTTATATTCAGAGCCAATGGAAGGAATTGTCTATGAAAACCTTCACACATAACAATTCCAAACTGATTCCATTATACCATCGTTGGATATTGCGTTTTACAAATGAGGACATGTGGGCTTGCAGAGGCCCTGAGATGGGACGGCGGAATGATCTTTCATTGTGAGAGAAAAGAAAAACTTTATAACGTTTGGTGAATGTATTAGTTTTCTATTGCTGCTGCAACAAATTATCACAAGCTTAGCTGCTTAAAAATAGCATAAGTTTTACACTTGAAAATAATATAAAATTGTATATCAAGTATATTTCAATTAAAAAGCACAAATTTATTACTTTAGAGTTATGGAGGTCAGAAGTCTGACATGGGTCTCTGTAGGCTAAAACCAAGGTGCCTACAGGGTTGCATTTCTTTCCAAAGTCTGTTTCTTGGCTTGTTTCAGTTTCTTATGGTAGTAGGACTGAAGGCCTCATTTCCTTGATGATTATCAACTGAGGGCCATTTTCCGTTTCTAGAAGCAACCTGCATTCCTTGGCAGGTGGCTCCCTTCTTCCACATTCAAAGCTGACAATAGTGGGTTCAGTGCTTCTTATGCTGCCACCTCTCTGGCCTCTTCTGTTGTTCATCGTTCCGACCCACTCCTCTGCTCTGCTCTTGCACTTCTAAGGACTCATGTGGTTAGATTGGGCCCACCTGAACCATCTAGAGAAATCTCCCCATCTCAAGATTTTTAACCTTAATGACATCAGCAAATTCTTTTTTCTATGTAAAGTAACTTATTCACATGTTTCATGGATTAGGGCATGGACATAGGGCATGGATTAGGGCATAGGTTGAGGTATCCTATCTGCCAAGTGAGTAATGGCATATGTAAGGGTCTTCCAAGTATGGAGTTGTTATGCATGATTCACATTATGTTCTGGTTTGCAAAACAAGAGAGCTGTTGTTAAAAATATCCACTCTTACAGACAGACAGACAACACATGATCTTGCATTATTTGGCTTGCTTACCTCTCACCATTCTTGTGCTTTCTCTGCTCAGCTATACATTATCATTATCCTGGACTTACAGTTCCCAGAAAGAGCCACACTAGGCTAAAATACAGTTTACAAGTGAAGACTGGCTAGTCCATATATGGTACTAAAACTCTGATCTACAAAAGAAACCCAGGAAGCCAAACACAACCTCTGTAGCAATTGGCCCAGAATAGTCAGAACTAGATCAACATCTGCCAACTTCTCTGTTTTGTTTTTTTTTTTCGTTATGTATGTTTGTTCCCCCTTCCCCCTGCTTCCAACTTAGGACCAGCCAGAGAAAGTCACATATGTGTCCCAGACCAATTGCTTAAGATGCCCTGCTTCTATTTAGCCCACGTCCAGCCTCCCTGTGCCAACAATCTCCAATCAGCTTGTAACTGAAGTCTTCTCCTTCCCCTCCTTTTTCTCACTATAAAGCTTCCTCTCTTTCCTGACAGACTTTCAGTATCTGTCAAATGCAGGTGATGATGGCTGATTCCCTCGCTACAGCAAGCTCTGAATAAATAAACTCTTTGTTCATATTTGGTGGTCTTTGTTTATTTCCACACCTCCCTTACTCTTTCACATATTTGTTTCCCTTTTTTCTCTTCTTGGATCACTCATTCTTCCTTGTCTTATATGAATGATTTATATTCATCATTTGAGTATCAACTTAGATGTCACTAGTGATAACAATAACAACAATAATAATTATTAAAATGATGGCTAACTTGTACTGAGCCCCTTACCTTATGCCAAGAACTTTCTAATGACGTTCAATTTATCAACTCATTAAACTCTTGGCAGTAAATTATTGAAGTAGGTTTCTATTATCATCCACATTTTACAGACAGGGAAAGATAATTCAGAGAGATAAAGTAACTTGCCTAAGGTCACTGAAGTAGGTGAAGGAATGGGGTAGAATTTAGGTAGCTGGTTGCCATAGTTCACTTTTGGAATCATGATGTTATATTGCTTTCAAAATAGATTTTCAAATGTCCTTAGCTAGGAATGGGTACTCCTTACCATATACTTAAATAGTATTCCATACTTTATCTTTACCAGTAATACTGCATTATGATTGTTTGTGAATTTATCTGTAGTCCTACTAAAATTGGAGCTTCCTTAGGTCAAGGACAGTATTTATCTTACATATGTTTATAAGTCCAGCATACAGTAGCTTTTCTATACATGTGTATTTGAGGGATGAAGAAATTAATGATTGAATAAAACAAATTCAAAAGCCTAAATTATTTTTTTATGATGCCCACAAAGTTGTTTTAATTTTATTTTTTTTAAATTTACATCCAAATTAGTTAGCATATAGTGCAACAATGATTTCAGGAGTAGATTCCTTAGTGCCCCTTACCCATTTAGCCCATCCCCCCTCCCACAACCCCTCCAGTAAACCTCAGCTTGTTCTCCATATTTATGAGTTTTCTGTTTTGTCCCCCTCCCTATTTTTATATTATTTTTGTTTCCCTTCCCTTATGTTCATCTGTTTTGTCTCTTAAAGTCCTCATATGAGTGAAGTCATATGATATTTATCCTTCTCTGACTGACTAATTTCACTTAGCATGATACCCTCCAGTTTCATCCATGTAGTTGCAAATGGCAAGATTTCATTCTTTTTGATTGCCGAATAATACTCCATTGTACATATATACTACATCTTCTTTATCCATTCATCCATCGATGGACATTTGGGCTCTTTCCATACTTTGGCTATTGTTGACAGTGCTGCTATAAACATAGGGGTGCATGTGTCCCTTTGAAGTAGCACACCTGTATCCCTTGGGTAAATGCCTAGTAGTGCAATTGCTGGATTGTAGGGTAGTTCTGTTTTTAGTTTTTTGAAGAACCTCCAGAGTGGCTGCACCAGCTTGCATTGCCACCAACAATACAAAAGAGATCCTCTTTCTCTGCATCCTTGCCAACATCTGTTGCCTGAGTTGTTAACGTTAGCCATTCTGACAGGTGTGAGGTGGTATCTCTTTGTGGTTTTGATTTGTATTTCCCTGATGATGAGTGATGTTGAGCATTTTTTCATGTGTCGGTTGGCCATCTGGATGTCTTCTTTGGGGAAGTGTCTATTCATGTCTTTTGCCCATTTCTTCACTGGATTATTTGTTTTTCGGGTGTCGAGTTTGATAAGTTCTTTATAGATTTTGGATACTAACCCTTTATCTGATATGTCATTTGCTAATATCTTCTCTCATTCTGTTAGTTGCCTTTTAGTTTTTCTGATTGTTTCCTTCGCTGTGCACAAGCTTTTTATTTTGATGAGGTCCCAGTAGTTCATTTTTGCTTTTGTTTCCCTTGCCTCCAAAGATGTGTTGAATAAGAAGTTGCTGCGGCTAAGGTCAAAGAGGTTTTTGCCTGCTTTCTCCTCAAGGATTTTGATGGCTTTCTGTCTTACATTTAGGTCTTTCATCCATTTTGAGTTTATTTCTGTGTATGAAGCCTAAATTATTTTTTAATGTTTATTTATTTTTGAGAGAGAGAGAGAGAGAGAGAGAGGGAGAAACAGAATCCAAAGCAGACTCCAGGCTCTGAGCTGTCAGCATGGAGTCCGACATGGGGCTCAAACCCATGAACTGTGAGATCCTGACCTGAGCTGAAGTCATTTGTTTAACCAACTGAGCCACCCAGGCACCCTGAAAAGCCTAAATTATTTTTTTAATCAGAGGATATGAAGTTAAAAAAAAGAGAAAAAAGGACCCTACTTCTGAACAAACTTTGAGTGAAATACAATTCTACATAGGAATTTAGTTATTATCCAGAAAAGCAGGACAGCTTCTCTCTTCTGAGCTTAGGTTTCTTCCACAATCTTAGACATAAAATAACACGAAGCACTAATATCAGTCTGTCCTAAGAAAGTCTCTTCCAGTTAAGAGTCCTTATTAGGTTGGACGCAACATCTTCTTGGCATTGGTTTCTGAGACAGAGTATCTCCAACTTAATAACATTCTTCTGAACTCTGCCACAATACTAAAAGCTCTCCCCCCTCCACCACATGCAATGCTGGAGAATTAGGTGAGAGCCAGAGGTGTCTAGGTATCTCATGGACTAAGTCAGAATCCTAGAGCAAAGTTCTCAACCATATTCCTTAATATGCCAAGGCTCTGGCTAACTGCCCTTGTAACCCACATTCTGGGACCTCTTTTTCATGTTCAGTGGGTCTCCTTTTTAGATTGATAAGACCGCTGTATCTGGAGAAGAACTGAGACAGTCATCTAGATCAGTTCCTTTACTTTATATTTAATACCATTGAGAACCATTCATTCATTCAACAACTATTTATTGAGCATCTATCTACTGACTCTCTGGTATTGTTCCAGGATTTGGGGGATCCAGAGGTGACTTTGATATGACCCCAGCTATTATGAGGCTTGTATTCTAGTGGGGTTAGAAATCAAGCATGCAAATAGAATAATTTCAATACATGTGATAATAACACAAAGTTATGTGGTAGCAACTTGCCCAAATGTATTCCTGTCAGAACATACTTCTTCCACATCTTCCGCCACATCCCCAACCCTCTGCTCAGCCATTCTTCCTTGGAATTCTTCATGTTTCTTCCTCCTAGCCTTTACTTGATTATATGCAGGAAGTAACAAACCTTATTTGGAATAAAAGTTACTTAGGAAATTATTCCCAATCCTCTCCGGATCGCTACTTATGGTCAATGTTCTAAAAATAACTTTACTTCTCATACGTTCTTCTTTTTTCCTTTCTAGGAATAGACTATTACAACAAGATCATTGATGATTTGTTAACTAATGGGGTCATACCCATAGTGACACTCTACCACTTTGACTTGCCTCAGGCCTTAGAAGACAAAGGAGGTTGGTTGTCAGAGGCAATCATCGAATCCTTTGACAAATACGCCCGGTTTTGCTTCAGTACGTTTGGAGATCGAGTCAAGCAGTGGATCACCATAAATGAGCCTAATATTCTTGCCATCATGGCGTATGATCTCGGTGTATTTCCTCCTGGTGTACCTCACTTTGGAACTGGAGGTTATCAGGCAGCTCATAATTTGATCAAAGCTCACGCCAGATCCTGGCACAGCTACGATTCTTTATTCCGAAAGGAGCAGAAGGGCATGGTGTCCCTAGGAATTTTTGCTGGCTGGGCGGAACCAGCAGATACCAACTCAGTGTCCGACCAGGAAGCTGCTAAAAGAGCCATTGCTTTCTGCTTGGATTTCTTTGCTAAACCCATATTTATTGACGGTGATTATCCAGAAGTTGTCAAGTCCCAGATTGCCTTCATGAGTAAAAAGCAAGGCTCTCCATCATCAAGGCTTCCAAAATTTACAGAAGAAGAGAAGAGAATGATTAAAGGCACAGCTGATTTCTTTGCTGTGCAATATTATACAAGTCGTTTAGTCAAGTACCAGGAGAACAAGAAAGAAGAAGTGGGTTTTCTTCAGGATGTGGAGCTTCAAGTTTTTCCAGACCCATCTTGGAAAAGGTTGGATTGGGTCTATGTGGTGCCATGGGGAATACGTAAACTACTGAAATATATTAAGGTAAAACACGTTTGTGTTCATGTACACCCAAATATGTGGAAACGGAAAGACAGACATATGTGTATATATAAGAACTTGGAAAAAGAATGATTTTAGACAGTAGCTTATATATTGGCTTGGGAAGAGAGATTAGGATTTAAGTTGGTGAGGGATAACTGGCTGATAAGAGGCTTCAAAACAAGGTGAAAGTTGGGATTCTTTGTTAAAGTCAGTTGGGGTCAAAGAAGTTGCTTGGAAATATTTTTCAGGCTGATGTCACAACTGTTGATTATCAAAAGGCACATTAAAGGCTGAAATAACTGGATCCTTTTTTGGCCTCCGTTATGCTGGATAGTGTCCAGGTAGCTGAAATTAAAAATTTAAGTTAATGATTTTTAGGACCCTTGCCGTGGGGAGATAGAGAGTGTAGCTGTTGGTGGGACCAAGGGGTTAAGGAGTAGTGACAATCAGCAGATGCTGATGGAAGAAAGATATTTCTGTCTTCTCATTACGATAAGAGTCATTTGACTGTCTTCATGGACATTTGCACAGTTTTGCTTTCCCATTGTTAGTCATAAAAGGTCAGTGCGTGGAAAATTAAGTTAATAGGGTCAGTGCAATTTGATGAAAACTAGTTTTGGGTTGTAGCTTAGAGAAGATAGAGGGTAATGCACCTGATTTTATGAGTCTTTTTTTTTTTTTTTTTTACATCTGTTTGGAATAAAACTTCTGCTCTCTTGTTCCAGGATACGTATAATAACCCTGTAATTTACATCACTGAGAACGGGTTTCCCCAGGGTGACCCTGCATCTCTTGATGACACTCAGCGCTGGGAGTATTTCAGACAGACGTTTCAGGAACTGTTCAAAGGTACCATTTGAAATGATGAAAGATCAATTGTGCAAGCTTAATATAATTTTCCCACGTGCCTATTTGCATTCAGCAAAGACCAATGATTTTGAAAGCCGAAATTCATGTAAATCAGTGTAAAGCCACGTAATTAAGAGAGAGGAGAAAAAGTATTTAGGAAAGAGGAAGGTGAGAATTTTGGCCTAGCTTCAACCTTTCAAAATTTAATCAAGTAAAAGCGACTGTCTTCAGCATTTTGTGACTCCTGGGTGAAGGTGATATGAACAGAGGGGGTGGTGTCTGTTCGAAGAGAACATTAGTTATTACAAAAAGATTAGTACTGACCAACTACAGCATGCCTATGTGCATATTTCAACATCCTAACTACCAAGAAATGAACTGACGGAATTTGTAAAGGACCAAAATTAAGCATTTATGCAATGAACTTTAGAATGGCCTTCGATGAGTCTTGGTCTAAAATGAGTCTTCCAGCACTGTGTGTTTCATTTGTAACCAAACAGCTCCATTTAGGAACAGGTTTTTGTCATATAGAATCTGTGACTTTTATTTCAAGACAATACTATTATTCCGGCAAATGCTCTTCCCCCCATGGCATTCTTTTCACATTTGAAAACAAATGTGAAGGAATCATATTTAACTGGTAACACACATTTCTACACCAGTTAATTTCCCCATTTCAGCTTCTACTTGGAACACTGTTGCTTTGTAAATTTAATTTCTCCTCCCTATAAAGGAATCATATCACAGAAACAAAATCCAATGTAAAACGAGACTTTCAATTTCCTTTTTTACCATGATAGGTACACTTCTCTCTCATCATTCTATTTGAAAGGTCCTAAAATTATTCTTTCCAAATTAATCAGTAATGTACTGAAATCAGCCAGAAGGAATTCTGGAAAGTGACACAAAATGGTCTCTTTCCAAAACCTAAAATATATGGTACTCAATCCCTCACTCTGGCTTGGAATTTATTGGCAGAGGGCAATTGGATTCCTACAGTTTGATCCAAGTGAAATAATTCTTTTGTATTACATGCAAAACAGATTCTTTCTCTAGGTAGGAATTCACTTCCTGATAAAATAAAAAGGAAATGTCCAGTTTTCTGAGATTCCACTCTCTTTCTCCCTGTAAATGACCCTATTCATAGTTAATCCATTGATGTTCCCAGCTTCATCCTAGGAGGAAAGTAAGCTGGTTACCGGCAGGCAGATTTATGGATGATATAAGGACCACAAATGACTTGTCCAAAATTGTTCTGTGTTTCCTGGGAAAAGAGAGAAAAATAGAAATTGGCTTTCTTCATTTTCAGCTTGGTGCTCTGTTTAGTGCTAACATATAAGGACATTTCATTGCTCTTTGAAATAGTTTCAAGTACTTTAATACAGTTAGATCCTTAACACTAAAAATTCGCTGGTAGACCCACAAACAAAGACAACTTAAAGACAGAAAAGTAACTGAAGGTGAGAGTGGAAAATGTGAAGAGATTTGGATTTCTCAGGGGCAAGAGAGGAGAATAGGACTAGAAACAAAATTCTGTTTTTCTACTTGTAGAATTTCAATTGTGTCTTTAAACATATGGAAAAAATATTATACACTTAAAACATTAACTGTTCACAGTATTATGTTCTTTTCTGATTTTTTAACATAAGATGATCTATATTCATTGTCATTAATACATATTATAATTTTTTGCTTTTAAAAAAATGTGGTCTTTCAAATATGCAGAAATCTATTTATCGACAAAAAAAAGACAAGCGTATTTATTCTGGAGTGAGTATAGTAATAGCTATTTCTTATATATTGTTGTAGTGGACACCGTTTATTTAATCTGTGGAGAAACTCTCTTTCCTAGTAATTAATCCCTTTTCTTCTATGAAATACCCATCTCCTCTCATCTTCAGGCTTACCCCAGGGATAGCCATGTAAGTAGAATACAATCCTGCTCCTTGTTAATATATAATTGATTGGTCTGAATGCAGGTACATGGCATGAGCTGGGCCAATCCCAGTTCTTCCCTGAGGTTTAGAATTTAGGCCAGTCACCTTGTCTCTTAGCCTAACTTGGCAGGGGGATGTACCTTTGTGGGCTGTTGGCTATGTCCTGCCATGGACGCTAAGTAGTATAAAGGGGGGCTGCAGGGACGTGGAGACAAGAAATAGGGAGGGCTTCAGGGTGGCACTTAGAAATGGAGCCTCTAATTCCAGTTCTTCCTCAGACCCAGCTGCGTGCATGTTCTTGAGAGACATTACTTTTACTTATAATTAAGTGCTCTTTCTGCTTCATCTGAATCTGACTGGGTTTCCATCACTTGGAACAAAAAGAATCTTCGCTGATACCATCGTATTACTTCATTTTCAAAACAGTGAGATGAGGTCATTGCTCCTATTTTACAGATGAGAAAAGTGAGATTCAAAGAGGCTAAGTCATTTGCTCAAGATCACAGTTACTAAGTCATATCTCCTAGAACCAAGCAGAATGTGTGCATTATTATTACCACTACTACTATTTTGGTGTTTGATAAGATCTGTGAGTCCAGGGTTTTCTGACTCAGAGTGATTACTTGTCCTACCACAGAGAACCTTTTCCTTACTTTGGTACTCTGGACTTGAATAAATTTGCTTCCTGCTGCGTCTGCAGGGGCCAATTGGTCCTGTGACCTTGGACAAAGCTTCGACACTCCCTATCCTGCCTCTCCTCAGGGGACTAGAGCCTAATTTAATAATTGATTTCCTGAGACTCCTTTGAGGTGGTGCTGATGATCTTGACTGGCAAGAACTTTACTAGTAAGAACGCCCTGTGAGCAATTAAAACTAATAACAGGCCAAGGAAGACATTCGTGGGAAGCGCTGCAGGTGAGGGCCCACCAGAACCCGCAGAGTCCGATGGATGATGGCTTTGTGATCCCCACAAACAAAGCCTTCTCTCTAACATCACACTTACGGACAGGCACATAATGACACTATAGTTGGATCAATGATATCCGCCTGGAGGTCTTTCTGATCTCTTCAGGTAAAATCCCACAGCAATTAATTGAGCAGTAAAAAGTAAGCTAATGTTTCTGTTTCCTTTTGGGAAAGGGCGGCAGGGGGTGGGGCGGGCGGGGGATGTCATTTCAAGAAAAAAAAGAGAGGGAAATCAGCTAATGGTTTTTTAATCATTGTATTATTTAAATGCCTTTAAATAGATTGTTTTTCATTAACATAGATATAGATAAAAGCAACAGAATAGAGACACAAAAAACTTGCAATAACCTATAACTAGGCTTACATTTCAGTTCTGCAAATTATTCAGTGAGGGGCCTTTGGCAAATTGTTCAGCCTCCCAAATCCTCAGTTTGTTCACCTATACAAATGGATTAACACTTTCCTTGACCGGGGTTGTTGTAAAGATTCCATTTAATGAGCTGTTGTGTAATCACCCCCAACCACCAACTGCTGGTGCACAGTAGGCTCTCAATCAATGGTAATAATTATTATTATTATTAGAAAATGTGTACTCTTTTTAATTTTTTTAAAAATGTTTATTTATTTTTGAGAAAGAGACAGAGCACCAGTGGGAGAGGGGCAGAGAGAGGGGGAAACACAGAATCTGAAGCAGGCTCCAGGCTCTAAGGCCTGAGCTGTCGACACAGAGCCTGACCCCAGGCTCAAACTCATGAACTGAGAGATCATGACCTGAGCTGAAGTCAGATGTTCAACCCACTGAGCCACCCAGGAGCCCCGAAATATGTACTCTTAAGAATATATTTATCACCCCAAGTTTTTTTAACTTTTTATTTTAAAAATGTCATCCCAAGGCTTTTTTTCAAATTTCCCTCCAAGTAATTAGGTTATAGCAGAATATTCCCCCATGTCTACAGGTTTCTCTGTCATTTTTGGGGGGGAACCTCTGAGTCAGTCTTGTAGCTTTGGGTCTCTGGCTATTTACAGTTGATTCCTGTGGAGTAGAAAGCAGAAACAGCCTCCCTCTATTCATTATTTCCATCAGAGAGGTTGCCAGATTAGGGGAAAACTTAAATCATTGGCAGCAGAACGACCATCAAGCAACTGGGTTGCTTGATGTTTGTGTAAGTTTGGAAAGCAGTCATCTTCAAGGAGTTAAGCTTTTCTCACGTCATATGAATGTCAGTTATATTCGTAAAACGTACACCAGTCCTTGCTGTTCCGGAGCCGACAGCAGGCGAGTTTAAGTTCCTGTGTAAACACACACAAATGGATGCCTCAATAATCTGAAAGCCGCTGAGGTGAGCGAGAGTGTGAAGCAGGGGAGGTTGGCCTCAGTAAGTAATACTCCAGCCGTGACCTCAGTTCTCCTGAAAGGGGATTTGAGTCTGTGTTCTGCCTGTTCATCACGTGCCTGAGCATGTGCCCAGCATGTGCCTGCCTGCCTCTTGCGTGGCCCATGATCTTTCCCTCAGCTTGGAATGCCATGGCCTTTGCCTTCTTCTTGGCCCAGATCCTGTTGTTTGGAGTCCATGAACTTGCTGGGATTCAGGCAAGACATGGGTTCGAAGCCTGGTTCTGCCACTCACATGCTCAATCAATAATTTGGGGAAAATTCATAAGCAGACGACACCTCAGCTATCTAATCTTTAAAACGGGGCTAATAAGCACATCTGCAAAATGAACAGGGTAGTGCCTTTAAAGCCTAAATACAGAGTCTGGCCCATTACAAAGGATTCTGTAAATGATGGCTAATTTTTGAAGGGGCCGTGAACTCCCTGAGACTGGAGCCGTGTCTTTTTCGTGGTTATATCTTCAGCCCTGACTGCCATTTCTGTCATGTAGTAGGTGTTGTATACTTTGTTGAATTTGGTTGTGTCTGTCAGAGAAGAGTTAGCCAATGGGTAATGAGAAATAAATGATTAAATAATTGAGAACTGTATTTTCTTTCCCTAAAGAAATATACCCCATAGAGAGGAAAAAAAAAAAAAAAAAGCAGACTTCTGGAAAGTTTCTGAGCCAGCCCAACTTTCCAGTCGGATCCATGCCTGAGTTAGC